TGAGGATGCGGAGAAATAGGAACCCTCCTACACTGTTGGTGGGACTGAAAATTGGTACAACCACTGGAAAGCAGTATGGAGTTTCCTCAAAAAAACTAAAAATAGAAATACCATTTGACCCAGTAATTCCACTCATAGGTATTTACCTGAAGAAAACAAAATCCCTGATTTAGAAAGACATCTGCATCCCTATATTTATCACCACACTATTTGCAATACCCAAGATACGGAAGCAACCTAAGTGTCTATCAATAGATGACTGGATAAAGAAGAGGTAGAGTACATATATACAATGGAATATTATCCCATCATTAAAAGAGAAGAAATCCTGCTATTTGCAACAACATGGATGGATCTAGAGGGTGTTAAGCTCAATGAAATAAGCCAGGTGGAGAAAGACAAATACCATGTGATTTCACTTATTTGTAGAATATAAAAACAAAACAGAATAAACAAAACAGCAGTAGATTCATAGACACTGAGAAATGACTAGTGGTTACCAAGGGAGAGGGGTTGGATGAGTGCAAAGAAGGAGGGGGATAAAGGGGAACAATAATTCACAATCACAGTGTAAGTTGATCATGGGACTGTTGAACCACTGTGATGTACATCTGAAACCTACATAGGATTGTATATTAATGACACTTTAATAAAAAAATTAAGAAATGGAGAAGCAATGTACAGCATAGGGAATATAGTTAATAGTATTATAACAACTTTGTATGGTGACGGATGGTAGCTAGACTTATCATGGTGATCATTTCAAAATGATGAATCACTGTTGTAGACCTGGAACTGATGTAATATTGTTGTCAACTACCCTTCAATTAAAAGAAAGGATGAATAAGGACTGAGGATCTAATATAAAACATGGTGACTATAGTTGATAACACTGTATTATATAATTGAAAAATTTCAAGAGAACTTGTGAGGTCATGGATATGTTAATTAACTTGATAGTAGGAATCCTTTCACAATGTATATGTATATTAAATCACTACAATGTACACTTAAAATATATACATATATTTATATGTATATAAAGTATTATATATATGTATATATATATATAAAGAATACAGTGGAAGCCCTCTGCTACCTCTGTTTACAGATACTCTGTTCCCCTTCCATAAAGGAACCAACTAATGTTAATAGGTTTTGTGTATCTTTCTGAAACGTGTGTGTGTGTGTGTGTGTGTTCCCCCTTTACAAACAAATGGTATATTATTCATTCCCTTTTATACTCTGATTTTTTTCCCTTAATGTATTTTGGCAATCTTTCTATCTCAGCATATAGTGCATTTTCTCATTCATTTTTTGCCATTGCATGGTCTTATTCATATATCTCAATAGCTGACACATAGTATGTAAATGATAAATATTGAATGGATGAAATACTGAATGAATGAATACAAAAGAACACTTTTGTGCTATTCTTGGAAACTAGCTGAATAAGCTACTATGTAGTGTTTCAACATGTTACACATATCACACATAATATAGATAAATCATACAAGGCCTTCTGATTTTACAATAGAAATCTGACTTGTCCTATTCTTTCCCATCCATTAGAGGGAGACATGAACCTGTTGTGGAAAGCCAACACTTAGATTCTCTAACTAGAAAATCTGAGCCAACTCTAAAGTGGTCCTTTGTAGAATTTGAGCTTATGATAAATCTATCCAGGACTGCAGGTTTGAGGGATGATAAAGGAAGTTACTTGAAGTAGGAGCCTAGACTAGGGGGAGGACACAGGTGAACTCTGCTCAGTTACCAACAGCAAGACAAATTTATTACCTTTGGTGGGTGCTAGTAAGCTTTTTTAAAAAAGCTCTGCTTTGTATGTGTTTATGGATTCCCTAGAGAAAAAGACAATATTTAAATTAGGCCATGAATTAAAAACCAGAGAGCAACTGAGAAGTGTTCATGTCAATCAATACCCTCTTTTCTGAGGGAAACAGTACGGCTGGGTGCCTCTGGGCCAGGAAATATCTGTAGTGTAGCTACTCACTGTGGCAATTTCAGGCTACAATTGGTTTAACAACTGAACTTCAAATTCCTCAAATATTTAACAGTCACATCTCCTGAGCCAATGTGACAAGCAGCTTGTGCTAAGACTTGTTGGGTCTTAGTAACCTTTTCTGGAAAATGGAGATGATAAATTGCCCATTATGCAGGTTCCACTGGATAGATAGTGGACACATAAGCACACTGAACATTTCAAAGCAATGTTTCCCAAACTCCGTTGATCATAAAATCATACAGTGGCTTGTGGAAAATGCACATTTCTAGGGCCAGTCTCCGAGCTTCTAGGTCAGAGCCTTCTGTGGCGGGGCCCAGGAATCTGTATTTTAAGCAAGTGACTTAGGTAACTCTTATCCAAGAATGTGGAGAAATACTGCTCTAAATTAGTCATACAAGTGGGTCATGTTTCAATGGATCTTTGACTCTCTTCACAATTGGGCCTGCCTGAAGAGATGTATGCAGAGCTCTAGGACAAACTCCAGGCAGGGCATTTAATTTCTGTGCTACTTCCTCCACCTCAGAGCCCAAACATCTCTAACCAGCAGACCTGCTCCTTGCCCTTTCTGAGGTCGTCTTGCCTACACCTAGGAAGCCCTTTGTTCCAAGGACTGTTGGGTTGCTTTAAAGCTATCATGTAGTGAGAAATTACCAGGTGTCTGGCATGTTACAGTTCATTCCCACAACAATCCTATGAAGTAAATTCTTGTGCTCCTCCCATTTTACAGAGGAATATCAGAGAGGCCAGAAAAGCATTCAAGGCCATACAACAAGTAAATGGTTGGGCTGGAAACCCGAGGAAGAAGGAAGGATTCCAAGGGAAGGATGCAAGTCTGGGCCCAGGTGCTTACAGAATTCAGAGGATACCCTAAGGCAGATCAGTGCTCTCCATGTCTGAAACCCATTCCGTTCAGGTAACAGGCTCTGAGGGGTTAACATAAATCTCTGAGGAACCCAAACATGTAGGGAAGCAGCTTCTTGTCCTCTGAATGTCCACAGAACATCCAAACTCCACCATTCATTTGTCACTATCATTTCTAATAGGTTTTGTAGGTCATTTCTTAGACACTATGTCTTGTCTCCTCAACTAGGTATAAAGCCTTAGGAGAAACCAAGTTATAGTGAAACCAATATGGTTTGAACCTTCTGTTCTTATTAGCTGTGTAGTACTAGGCAAGTTACTTAAACTTTCTGAGCCTTGGTCTTCCTTTGTTTTGAGGATTTAATGAAATAGTGCAATGAGTTTTACAAGCAATTGCCGAATGAATGATAGCCATCTCTTCCTCCTCATCCAAAAGCAAACACCTTCATATTCTCTTGAGTCCCAGGTAGGCACTTAGAACATTATTTTTTTCAGCCTTCTCAAAGGGTACATTCTCACAGAGATAAATGCACAAGGGCAATAAGCATTCTCTAAAAGGAGTGTTTTATGAAGGAATAAATGTAGAGTACCAGAATAATTTGAAGGTGAAAATAACTAAAGGAGCTGTCAATAATTTTCTCCCTTGAGTAGTGTTTTAGACTGAGATAAGGTGGGAAGGGTTGGGGTCAGGCTGATACAAGCCTAGGGATATTAGCAGTAGCAGATGGCAGACACTCTGGGATCCCTGTACTAGGAACACAGAAAATGAATCTTCCTCAGGGAGGCAGGTGTGGATCTACACAAGTCAAATTCCTATAACCGTAAATCTGGAGAACTCAAGTTTCCTTATCTACAAAATGGGAATAAAATCATCGTCACAGAGTTTGTGTGAAAATGCAGCAAGACAGGGCCATGTAACTGCTTGTTAACTGTAAAAGCCAGGGTCACCCTAGGGTATGGTTCTTTTAATAAATTATGGCTGATGGATGGAAGAGCAGGAGCCAGCTGAGGAAACAATGGCCTGAACAGGGCAGAACCATGAAGGAGCGTTTAGTGAGCAAAACTGCCTGAAAAAATAGAAAAAAAAAGTAGAGATATTAAAAAAAGAAAAAGGGAGAATGCAGGGATCCTATTATACAGTGTCTGACCTTATCACATTGGACAACACTGGAGGATCCCTCAGAAGATGTCTAAACTATCTGCAGAAGTTCCTTTCTTGGCTATAATTCCCAGCAGATGGGACTGAATAATGGAGAAGACCATGCCTTTCTCTGTTAGGCTCCTCAGATCAAGCAGTAATGTGTGAAAGAAGCACCTTCTCTCTGTGCACTAAAGGTGAGGTCTGTATTTTTATAAAAGCCATTAATGCAGTGTGCATCCCTCTAGTGCTAGTTGATGTGGGTTGAAAAGGACAATATGAGACATTTCTAGCAACCTTCCTTGATATCAATGAAGAACTTGAAAATGTCAAATGTATTTACAAGAAGTAGAAAAAACTTTAGTCAATGTTCTATGAATTTTAAACTCTGTGAAATCAGTCTTACTAAAATCTGGCCACTTAAGCCATGTCTGTCTATACCTTACTCCTTTTTGACCTCATTCCTGAGAATATTACACTGTCTGACCTGCTATTAATATTATCTTATTCTGTGCCTTACTGGGTAAGGAAGCTTCACTTTCAGAATTGCACTTGTGTAATTTGTGAAAAACTGCATTTTACAATTTGCCACCATTTCTAAAAGTTATTTAACATTTTATTTCTCAACTGGTTTGTCACATTCATGACAGTGACCACCAAGGGCTAGTTTCTTTTCTAGCTCAAGAGAGAATTGCTTCAGTCAGAGTTGGGGCTAAGAACAGGAATGTATTTCCTCATGTTGTATGGTTTCGGGTGGGTAGAATGTGGGAAACACAAGGTATGCAAGGGAACTGTTTGGAGTTTAAGTATCTTCAGGGAGCAGTAGAGAGGACAAAAAATTATTTTACCTGTATGTTTACAAATGTCAAAGACCAAGACTAAGACAAATGAGAGCAATTTATAAGGACTGGCTGCACATGCTGGTTGTCCAACTGTGGTTTATTTCAACTGCAGGTCAGAGTAACCTTGTCCTGTGGACTGGATGCCCAGGTATGACACTGACACAGATATTTTAAGCAATCTTTTAAAAATTCTCCTTAAGGTAGAAAGAAGGAAGGAACATATGGGTACTAGGTACCTGGAGAGACACCCAGGAGAAGGAACAGGGAAGCTGAGACTGGCAAAGACAAGCATCTTGTCCTCCAATCGTTCACGGGGTAGACCTGGTCAGCGACACACACCCCTGTCCACACTAACTTCTCTGCCTCAAGGATCAGGAGACTCTGCTTTACAAGGTAAGAGAATCCCGGAATTTCAGCTTTAGTGCAAATTGGATGGGGGGGGTGGGGGGAAGGATAAAGGTTTTTGGTAATCATTATTTATAAAGTAGATGATTCTCCATATTTGGAACCTCCCTCCCTTCATCACCTGTGAACCTCAATTTATAACCCCAGGGCACACTTGAGTCCCTCTAGGCTATTTTTGGCTAAACCCCAAACACTTGAGGCTGGCACTGTAAAAGCTTTTCTCCAAGTGCCCCATTTGGTCTTCCTCTCTCAGAAATCTAGAGTCATAACCTACCTGATCAAGAACCATATTCCTTATACCATGGGTAGTTTGATGATTAACTGGCTTAATGAGGCATCTACTTTCCTATAGATTTTTACTATCAATAGCTGCTCTATAGCCAGTTGCTTCTTAATGACTGTCCTATGATCCTAGCTAGTCCTTTCACTGTGGACTACTGCCTACCCAGTGGCTGCGAGCGGAGGGACCCTGCAGTCCTGGGGATCTGGAGCTGCCACTAGGGGGCTCTAGCTTACGGAGAGAACTGGACCCAGGCGTCGCCTGGGAAAAGCTGCGCAGTGGAGGCACAGACTTCTCCCGAGTTCTTCCTTGGGGTAGGTGAGTTTTGGAGGTTCCAGGAATCTTCGCTCCAACGCAAAAGACCTTAACAGCCAGCCTCTCCTGGGAACCCACTCCCTCCACCTCCTGATCACGGGGTACGAGGCTGCGCTTGCTGCTGGGGACTAGGCAAATCCAAAGCCTTTTTACTTTCACCGCTAGGTTTGTTAGAGTCAGACTTACGTATTTAATGACACCGAAGCCTTAGTCCTCTTAGACCTACGTGGGTCTGGGTCTAGGGACGTGATCCTCAAAGTGTGGTCCAGTAGCCCGGAGCATCAGTTTCAGCTTCACCCCAGGACCGAGTTGGAAATGCACATTCTCAGGCCCCGCCCCAGCCCTCCTAAATCCACCGCGGGACGAGGGGCTTCAGCTGTGCCTTGCTACCCTTGCAGTAGGATGGCCGTGAAGTGCTCGAGCCTGACAGCGCCTCCTAGGGCTTGCCCTTCACCCAGACGAGTGTGGATCTCCGGGTGCTCCGAGATTGCCCGTCGCTGGGTCTGTGGTCACGTGTGCCCTCGGATTTCTCTCTAGGTCCCTCCTGGGTCTTTAAAAGGCAGAAGAAGCTCCTCGTTGAGTCGTCTGTGATCTTTGCAGTGTCTAACGGCTGCTGGACCTTCTAACACTCCGTCGCCTCTGCTGCTAAGCCGCTTGATAAGCTGAGGCTGCGAGAACCTCCTCTGGAAACTTGCAGGGTGGAGAGGAGGTGGCGGGAACCGGACCAGAGCGGGATCATCCTGGGCTGCGAGTGCATGCAGTGCTGCGGGTAAGGCTCGGCGACCCGGTCCTGCCTGCTGGAGGTGGGCGCGCTCTGCGCAGCTGGTGGCCGGAGCCAGGTGCGGGGCATAGAACTAGTCAGGAAAAGCACGTGTCCTCGCTTCAGAGGTTGCTAGACGCTTGTTAATCTGCAGTTAAATAGGTGTAATTTAGCTCAAAAATAACTAGGAAACAGAATTTTCTGTGTGAAATCCTGCGGTGGGAAATCAATACTATTGAGAACAATAAAAAACACCCATCAAACGTCTTGAAAACTACTGGAAAAATAGAAATTTCATGCTCTGATTGAATATTTCATTCAGGACGCTAGCAAGTTAACTTAGTTTGTGTATGTAAGTCCGGGTTGACTGGCTAATATGCATATCTTTTTAAAAGAAAAATCTCTGGATTTCTCTATGGGTTTCTTGACAGTGGATGAAATGGTAAGTGGGAAATTTAACACTGCGCTTCCCGCTTGAGTTTTGTGGGCCTGGGAAGGAGTACATGTATCAGGCAGGTGACCAGTGCTTTAAAATGTATTAGCTGACATTCGTTAATCATATCAGAAAGTAGATTTACTTCTTTCCTAGATGGACCGCGCCAGATTAAGAGCTGCTCTGTTTTATTTGCTGTAAGGAACCTACCGCTTCTCTTTCTTAACCCTTTGTGTTATTACTGTGGCTAATTCATATTCAAGTATAAAATTAAGTCAAGGGAATATTTTTGTGAAAAATAAAACTTTGGATTTGAGTGGATTTCTGTTTAGGAAAATAAGGTTGTCTCAATTTTACTAGCTTTTTAAAAAGCAATTTTGCTTTCTGGTATGGTAGACAACACTTTAGAGGAAGGATTTTGTTTTATGTTTCTAGTATTTTCATGGGCATTCCATTAGAAATTTTTACATTTGTTATAAGTTTCTAAACTCACTGTGGCTATACTACTTTGTGTGGGGGGAAATAAGTTTGTTATTTTAAAAGTGAACATGTGAAAAGAAAGGTTTGTGCTGTTTTGTAAACAGTGATTTTGTAAAACTGTGATTATGAAAAGAACATGACCACTTCATTCTTTGACTCCTAGTTTTTACTGCAGAAAATCTGTTTCTGCATACACTCAAGAGGGAAAATGTAAGAATCTGTTCATCAATAGGTGTTAAAGGATTCCATTTTATATTCAAGCATTTTTTTTTCAGTTGAATTACTGAAACATTCTTATTTTGAAAGTAGCCAGTCTCCTGTAACACTTAAGACGTGTAAATCTCTGAACTCAATTAAAATACATTTAGGAGACATTTTTTTGGTTGAAGTGTCATTGATATACAATCTTATAATGGTTTCAAGTATATTGGTTTCAAGTATATAACACAGTGGTTCAACAGTTACCCATATTATTAAATCCTCACCCCCCAACTAGTGCAGTTACAATCTTAGGACACATTTCATAGTGGTTTTGAAGGACTCAAGTCTAATCACTCTTTACTTGTCTCAATTTATTTATAAGATAGAAAAAGTAAAAAATTAGTAGTAAATTCAACCCTTAAAAATAGAATTAGCATTTAGTAGCTATTGCTATGTCCATTCTTAAGAATAAGACACAATTTTCTATAAATGTGTATCTAACAGATAATGATTCAGAATACATCTTGTGATAATTTCAGTTCATGTTCTGAGTCATTTCATAAATCTATAAATCTATAATATATAAAATACTGAAGGTTGAACTTGAAACATTTACTGGTAAATTTTGATAATTACATTCAGAACCCTTGAGAACTGTATACTTGAATGTTAAACTTCATAATTCAGTGCGTAGAACATTGAGACATAATAGCATTTTTTAAAAGGCAGGCTTATTGGAGTGTAATTTGTATATAATAAAATCTAGCCTCTTTAGTTGTAAGACTGTGAGTTCTGACAGTTACACCCACTTGCAAAATCACTTCCATAATCAAAGCAGAGAATAGTTCCATCACTCCCCAAATCCCCTTCCTGCCTTTGTTGTCACCCCCTCCACCCATTTCCAACCCCTGCAAATCACTGATGTGTTTTGCACTTCAGTATGTTTTTATTTAGAATTAATTATCTTTCTTTGCTTTTTTCAAAAGAAAACCTCAGTTCCCCCTTTTTGTGGGATGAATAAGGTTATGGTATTTTTGTTTTAATCCTTTATACTTCGGGATAAATTGAAGCAAAGAGAAAGCTATTTTGCAAATGGGAAATTAGAGACATGGACCAAGAGTTTAATTCTTAGCACATTTAGATTCTGTTGTGGTTTGAGGCTTTAGTTATGGTGTGCATCACTGGTTATCCCATACTGATATACAAGGCCATTTAAAAAGTTTGTTGCTTATGTAATATTAATAGAATATGTTGTCCCTTTATAATATTGGCATTTAAAAATACTCTTCTTATACTTGAGATTAAGAAAGCTACCTGAAAATACATATTATCAGATAGTGAGGAACAAAAGAGTAATTGAAAATGACAGTTTGGAGACATTTAAAATAGTTTACAGAGTGATTATTCTTCTTAATTGATGCTAAGGGCTGTGCCCAGTTTATTTGCAGATGTCCAGATTTTTTTATTTCTGTGCTCTTGCTTTGAGATCTAGATTTTCTTTCAGAACATAGATGCAAATATTTTGTAAACTAATATTCTCTACTGTTTAATACATTTTTCAATTCAGTAAACAGGGGCCTGTTACTGTTAGGTACTACAAATAAAGATATGTCAGATGATGTCTTTTCCCTTTCTCTTTTATGATATGAAAAACAAGAGCCTGTATTTAAATATGCATTCACCTGCCAGAGAACTACAGTGGCAGTAACTAGTATATGCAAAGTGGCAAGTTATGAGGCACCAGTGAACTGGATAGTTGGCATTCCTAGCTGGACTGTTACAGCTCTTCATTATTAAGGGCTTTTTGTGGGGTCTCTATGTGTGTGTGAGAGAGAACAGGAGAGTGAAGGCCACCTGCAAAAACAGATCACTGGACTTGTTTCCTCAAAGCAGGACTGTGACCTTTTGTTGGTAAATGTTTTGTGTTCAGCTGTCAAATCCAGGACTGGAAGGTGAGTTGAATGTGTTCAGTTTCACTTTTACATTCACCAAATCCTCTTGAATCTCTTCACCCACCACTCTCCTCCCCCAGGCCCTAAATAACTATTGGATATGGTTCATTTCCCAAGAGTGGAGCATCATCTCTGACTGTGAATATTGGGAAGGAGTACAACCTTGCTGAAGATTGTGAAGGTTGAATAGCTCAGCACGTGAGAACGCCGAGCTGAGGCACTGTCCTCTTCCCTTATTCAAGCCTCAAAATCCCATTTCCTATCCAGCTCAGTAAGCAATGGGCTACTAGGGGGAATTAGGTTTTTATTTTGGAATATACACGTACACACTCTTAAGAGTTGATATGAAACAATTATTAATGATCAGTTCTATAGTGATTTTGGAGTGTCATTTTCTTTATTCCTAATTAATATTAGTTGAGAGTGTTAATACTATGCTTTGGAAAAATTTAAGGCCAGTGGTTGGCAAACAGCCACTTACATTTTAGACATGTTTTTATTTTGTCCATAGAATTTTTTCTAGTGCCTGATTTTTGTGTGTGGATTTGACTTCTATGGGGCACACAGTGTGGGGTGTTTGAACTGAACTCTTGTGGAAGTGTGATGGGCAGGCATAGGGAGAATGTGGCATTTTGCGCTCCACACAATGCTAACAGGCTACCAGCACCCCAGCTATTTGAACTAGTAGTGCAGAGGTTAAAAATTAGGTGGCAGAAATCTTCAGGGTAGCCATAAAAGCATTTTAACTTGTCTAGAAATTCTGCCCAACAATGCAGGCATATCCAGTGGCATGCCAATAGAATGACTTCATCTTTTGGATATGTAATGATACCTTCCAGAATGCTTCCACGTACAGCATTTCACGTCTCCTCCAAGCACTGTGAAGAGGTGCAGCACATTTAGGTTCACCTTACTACTGAGGAAGATGTGGAAGCCCAGGGAGTTAATGTGATTTGTCTAAAATCACCTGGCTTTCAGGTAGAGCTGGGACTAAGGCCCTGTGTGCTGTTCAATCCAGTGGGCCAGAATACACAGAAAAACAGGCCTGTGCTGACTGCCTTCATATATAACTAGATTTTATAGGTACTTGGATAAAAATCAGGCTATGCTTTCTAGAGTGTCTTTCTGCCATTTTTAGGGCCTGCCTTTCTTTCTCCAAGGAATCACTGTCAATATTTGGAATTTTAAAAACTTTTTTCTGTTTAAGAGCCATAATGTGTTCCCCAGCCAGTATGTTAGGACAGTATGTATCATCTCATGTGTACAAAAAGCTTTCCTGCTTGAATGCAGCTATGACTCGGAGGGCTCAACACAGGTGTGTGCACTGGGGGTGAGTGGAAGAGAGAAGTCACTGGGCAGAGGACAAGGACGGTTTGTCAGAAAGCATATGGGGCAACTATTTTGTCTATGATGACCAATGAAAGATAATTGACACACAAAGGAATGATTAATTCTTAGAATCAGGATGTCCGGGTACATGTTCTTTTGTTGGCCAGGTGAAGTTCCATGTCTGCCAGGTCTAACAATTAAACTCTTTAGAGACTGTTTCTCCCTATTGTACCAGATATTGTGGTCACTGAGGCAGTGCTTGGNGACTGTTTCTCCCTATTGTACCAGACATTGTGGTCACTGAGGCAGTGCTTGGGTGTTCAAGTGAATGTGTTGGGAAAATCCTGTCTTACAACGTCAGTGAAATTTGATCTTTTTGGTACTCTTTCCTTCAACCAGTTTCTATCTCTGTTTTAGAGTAGGAGTACTCAAATAACCAGAACAGGTTTGTCTTTTCACTTTTCTAGACCTCCAGTGGAGAAGACTTTCCTTTTGTTGATCAGTTGTCCCCAAGTGTACTGCAATGATTTAAGTTCAGCACCGTTTTTGTGTTTTTGCTTAAGAAGAAAAACCCTTTGCCTTGGCTACCAACTTACTAATTACCCAAGAACCAC